GCTCTCAACATCCCTGAGTTTGTTTCAGAGGAGGCCAGATCTCTACTGCAGCAGGTGAGCGTCTGATGTGCCTTTTGTTACTTTTACTCTGTGAAATTCAGTCTTTTGCTTATACAGACTTTAACTGTGTGACCCATAAAAATACATTTTTGTGTACACTGAAAGCATAATATTGCTGAAAAGACTGTATTTGAGACATAAATAATCTTTGGCATGTGCCTCAAACACACAGCAGCAGTGATAATTCATCACCAAAAATGCTATAAAAATAGATTTTATTATAACCACTTTAAAAGATTATGAATTTTGTATTTCTGTGGCAGATTTTATACTTTACACTTGGACATAAATATGCGGACATTAATGACAGCACCTGGTTGTGCTGTGAAGGAGCAGACATTATGGATACAATATAGACACTAAGATATCCCTAGTTGCTGAAACTGTATTTGGTCTGCCTGATGTCTGCTCTGATGGCCCAGCTCATTAATCTTTACACTCAGTGAATAAAGTTAAAAACTTTGGGGTGTTTTATGATGTGACAAAATGCCATTCTTCATTTTCTGTTTCTCTGTACTGTAAATATCTATATTTGAGGTCATTGACTGAGAAATGCTTCTAAGAAGATTTGTAATTAATATTTTTGTCTGTCTGTGTCGGCCTCTGGCTTGTCCTTCTGTGCAGTTGCTCCAGTACAACCCAATGGAGAGACTGGGGGCAGGAGTGGGTGGTGTGGATGATATCAAATCCCACCCATTCTTTGCTAGAGTGGACTGGCTCAAATAGACGCTGTGCATTGTGCAACCGATAAACAGTTACAAGCTGGGAAAGTGGTTGTCGTGAATGAACTCCTTTCAGTCTAGTCACATAAATAGAAATACAGTAAATCTAGATTATGCATTTCTATAAACATCTCCCATTTTGTGTATGGCCATTCAGTCACTAGATAGTGTACTTGTTAGATTTACAGTTCGCCAAGCAAAGAGGTACATCGATTGTTTCTTTATCTCCTAGAGGTCTTACTGTGCAACTTTATGGTGCAGGGAACACTTAACATGTCTGGTGCAATAATTTATACAGTAACTGCTTGTACTGAGTAAAGATCCACTACTGCGTTTAGACGCCTCATACAGTAGATGTAAGCTAAAATGACATGAGTAAGAGTGACATGACGTTTTTGTGTCCCCATATTTTCTCTGCATTCATTTAGTACTGTATGTTATCCATTCAGACCGACACAAATGTAAGCCACCTTTCCTAATGATCCATGTGCAATACACAGCAACACTTATGCCATTCCTCATCGCTCCCATCGAGTTTAAATGGAGACGAGATGAGTTATTTTGATCCTGGGTTGGTTGTGTTGTTGCACTGATTTACAAAAAGATATCTCACTTCCAACAACAACATCAGACTTTTTTTTAATTTCTTTTGACCCTATGCAACGTGAATGAACAAAAAATTCTAAGCAGGTGGGTTTTGTTGCTGAGTGAAGAATTAAATGATATTAAGACTGAATTATTTAATAGATTATAGTCAGAAATAGTGGCCAGTTAAACCAAGTATTCTTCCAGTGTGGTCAGGAAGAGTTTTTCATTGAAGACGGAAAGAATAATGTAGGATGAGATTTGAACCACACATTTGAAACCAGCCCTTATACATGTTGTAGTTGTTTTTATGAATATCGGAGAACGTGCTCTGCATTGTACAACACTGCATTTTGTGCATGGAAGCATATGAATTATGTAATATATTTAATACCATGAAAATTCTGTTTAACAATAAATAATGTCTTGTAAAAATCCCTTTTAAAGGATGTTGTGCTGAGTGAAAGATACTCCCAGGTGTCAAAACCTTGACTGTGTTCAACTTGTCAGTCACTCACTGCCTTGTCAATCAAATCCTTTTTATTTGGTTTTATTTTTGTGAAACACACCTGCTAATTTGCCACACAGATCTTAGAGTAATGTGTATCAGTGATATAGTAATGTCTTTTATCATCTCTTGTATAATCAAATGAGACTTAGAAATACTGGAGCATATATTTAATATATATATTCAGATAATCACTCCACTGTAAATGCTGCATTGTGCTACTTCACTGCAGTGTAATCCATGTTGACTAACAGATGCATTTTATCAGATATGAGATTAGATGTTTTTGTTTGGTTTCTATTGAATGTTTACACTTACCTGTGCTGTATGTCTCTACTGGTCTGTCTGCACTCTGGAAAACAATAAACATACCAGGATGAGTACATGAACAGATGAAGATGCTTCCTTTGTAGATGTATTGATTACGTGCAAGGAGCTGGGACTGTGTTGTGTTTGCTCTGAGGCTACAGCTTCTCTGTTATGATGGACCGATGATACTCCTAGAAAGCCGCTGTCACTCCGGCTGAGTGTCACTGTGACCGTAATAGGAGCCAGCACAGGCATGTAAACACACACTCTGCATGGTAAGTACTCAGCATTTACAGCTTGTGTAGCAGTGTGTCCCTTCAGCCTTCTAACTATGTGAAAATTATATCTGCTTTTGAGATTTCCATTCAGTGTCAGAGTGCATACAGACATGTGCAGTGAGGGTGCATATTTAATGAGTCGTTTTCACCATTGCGAGGCAAAGCAGTTCAGAAAAACTGCAGATTTTCCTGATGTGAGTGTATTGTAAACATGAACCTGGAACCAAAAGCTTCCTGGAACAGCTAACCTGGCTCTATCCTCAGCTAACAAAATCCACATACAGTTCCAGCACCTTTCAAGTTCAATAAGTCATCTTATTTTTTTGTTTGCTTATTCCAATAAAAAGCAAAGTGTACTATTTTTTTTTTGGTTGGAACAGTGGACAGGAGGTCAATGGACTTTCCAGGAAGTTAGTGCTATCTTTTAAAAAATAAATAAATAAAAACAGTCCTGCACATATGCCCTGTGAAATGGTAAATTGTCAGTAATTTCATTTTTGTACAAATTAAGTAAAATATAAAGCATTCCTGGCAGTAAGTGGATTTTGTTACTGATGGATGGAGCCATGCTGTTTCCACACTTTGTGTAAATGTGAGCTGAACTTGGTAACTTTTGAGTGACTCTGGCAATTGGAAACCAATCAAATTCCCATTGTGGATTAATAAGGTCACTTCATATCTATTTTGCTCATATCTTTTTAGAAACCTGATATCTTTTTTCAGTAAATTTTGATTCTAGGTATACTGCACTGAAGGTATATTCATCTAGGCACGCATACAGGCGTAGGTCAGCGCAGTTGGTGGTGGTGTCAGGGTGTATTCCCCTGTGTCAGCCTCACTGCCACTGGGTCAAGAGTCTGGGCTGATTAGTGCTTGTCATAAGACCTGTCTCTCATTACACACACACTCGGGGCAAGAGGTTCACTTCAGCTCAGAGAAGAAACCTGTCAATCTTGGTTAGTGTAGATGTTAGATGTGCCTTCAGTGTGATCACAGTCGCTGCAGAATCCCTCCAAGCACAATGTGAAGAATTTCTTCCACCAATGGCTCAGATTTGTATGACAGTCTGATATGGGCTTTAACTAGCCTCCTACTGTTTTTCTTTTTCAACCTGATGCCCTTCCCATGTATTGTAGTTAATATTTTAAACTCTCAAACCTGACTATGTGCAGTGATGGAAAGTAAATTTGAGTACTGTGCAACTGTACAACTTCCATTTTCTGCTATTTCTACAATACATTTTTGCTTCACTATTATCTGCTATAGTTATTTTTCAGATGATTTTACTTTGAAGGAGGACATGCTTATATAATGCAACACTACAAGAGATGCTTCAGTTTTCTAGAGTAATTTTATGTTTAACATTTGGCTGATAAAACGTTTGCAGGATTTTGAATGAATAACTTTAACCTGTATGGTCTTTTTACTTTGTTATGCTAGTACTTTTAAGTAAAGGGTCTGAGTATTTCTTCCACCACTGTCTGTCTGAGTCCTCACACAAAGAACCAAGGCGCATGCATTTTATATGTGCAAATGTATTTGTGTGTGCCAAGAGCCACAGGGAATGATCTGTCTGGTCAGAGGAAAGAATTAAGAGGACAGGCTAAGCTCTCCCATGTTACTGTACAAGCCTTTTGTTCAGAGCCCTGAAAGTGTCACCCAGGCCTACAGGCTGAACTGACCCCTGAACTCTTTCTACAACTTCCTGG